TGTGGGTGAATAGTAAATACTTGTTACACTAAAAGGTGCCTTGGAGTCTAATAGTTTCTTCTGATACAAAAAGAGATGAAAAATGCTACATTATCTGAGGATTAGGGTTGCACTTTATAGAAACACTTAACACTAACAGGAGTTGTGTTAGTTTCTTGTCTGCTAGGGAAATTCACAAAGGAGTTCAGTCTGCCTGGTTGTGTAACATACAACTCATTCATTCATTCATATAACATATTTTGCACACCACAATTGTGCTAAATCCAGATGATCTGATTAATGATAGAATCTTGCTAGTTCCAGAGTAAAGTGAACCTTTCTTTTTTGTTCGTTTCTTTCTTCCTTTGTTTGTTTGTTTGTTTGTTTCTTTCTTTCTTTCTTTCCTTTTTTTTTTTTTTTTTTGGCTTTGCTGAGGCACATGTTCCAAAAGAGTATGGCAAGAATGCTTAATCAGCTGTGAACATTACAGTCAGATGGGGCATTTTGTCAAAATTCCTGGGTCTAACCCCTAAAAGTGTGTGTCTCAGAAGGTTTGGGGAGGGCCAGAGGTATATTTTAAGATCTTCTCAGATCTTTTTGACACACACCCTGATGAAATCTGAATATTTTATATGAAGATGCTCTGTCTGTAATAACAGCATGCCAGATCTGTGCTCTCTGGGTTCTGGGGCAGCCACGTGCACTGGCTGATCCTCTGCTCAGCTGGCCTCGGTGGTATTTGAGGTGCGGGAGTGGCCCCGTCTGCTGTAAACAGCTGGCAACCACGGAAATCTGAAATCCCACAGAACGTGCAATTAAGGAAGGCATCTAACTAATGCCACGCTTTGTTTTGTTATGATCAGAGTAAATCCATGGGCTTTGCTTTGTTGCCATTTTAATTCGGAAATAACATTTTCCCAAATGTTGGATTAGACAGACCACAATGGGGAAAGAAAATGAAATATTAATGTTAGCCAGGAACATTACAACAATCTGTCTTCTTCTTTCTCTTTCCTCCCTCTTACTTAAACGTGACTGAAAAACTAGCAGGCTAGAAATGAATTTGAGGAATCATGCTATTAGGAAACTCGAGGCTGGAATAGCTCTTCACACAGTATGAAATAGGAACTTAGATTCTCTTATCTAGATCTGGTCTCACACTTTTACTGCAGACAGCTTCTCCTCCTATGAAGTTCAGTGAGGTGGGAAATAATTTCAGTCCGTTACAGGCTTGCACTGAACATCCTCAAGATGATATGGACTGGGAAATGGAGAAGTCAGTCCCCAAAAGTGTGTGTGTGTGTGTGTGTGTGTGTGTGTGTGTGTGTGTGTGTGAGTGAATTTTGGAGGAGCGGGGAATGTAGTACCCACACTCTGCAGGTGCCCTTCCTACATGGAAAATGTGTGAGGAGCATGAAACGGCAGTGGCCCACACACCTCCAAATGCTACCCGTACAAATGATTCATGGGGTAATGGGGTCTCAAAGGAGCCTTTTCCCCATTAGGCTTCAGCATCCAGTGCTGTTTGTGTGCTGTGGTGCCTTACAAGGCATCTGCAGCTCACGGGAAAGCTCTGCCTAAATTCCTTTGAAGACCCCAGAGCAACAGTAGAGACAGACCTTACTGACCTGTAGGATTTGTTCAGCCACATGCACAGCGGGTCTGTGTTGTTGCTGTGGTCCTGATAGAGGTTCCCCTCGTCATCACGCTGACTCCCAAATATCATTGCAGTTAACTACGTTTTGTTATCCGGAAAACTGGAGCATAATGTTTGTGTCGTGAACCATTCAGCTGCCAATATTACAGTCATCCTCTGATGGCTCCAAAATCTTGTGGCAGTTTGAGGCTCTTTTTTCCTCTTTAAAAAATTCTTTTTTAAGTTTATATATTTATTTTGAGGGAGAGAAAGAGCAAGTGGGGGAGGGGGAGAGAGAAAGGAAGAGAATCCCAAGCAGGCTCCCTGCTGACGGCGCTGACATTGGACCTGGGGCTCAAACTCCGGTGCTGTGAGAACATGACCTGAGCCCGAATCAGGAGTCAGAGGCTTTACCTACTGAGCCACACGGGAGCCCCTCTTTTTCTTGTGAAATTCCCTTCCTTCTGCTTCTTCCTGCTCTCCCTCATAAATCTGCTCTCTTCAATAAGCAGAAAGAAATTTAAGGGTTTTGTTTTTGTTTTTAATTTCGTGGTTAATCCAAATAGAAGTTTCACCCAAATATTGGGTAGAGCAGTGGTTCCCTTTCATATTTCTCTACTAAGGAGACTTGTATAAAAAGGGAAGTATAGCATGCATTTTTTATTATCAGTATTTCTTTCTACATTTTAACGTTTTTAAGTAAAAAAAAATGTATTTTCTAACTGATATCCAAGGGAATTTGCTGGCCATTCTTTCTTTTCCTCTTACCTTCCTTTTAATTTCCTTTATCCTTTTTTCTTCTTTGCTTTCTCCCCCTAGTAATATCTTATTAACTTATGACTTTCCTTAGAACTGTTGGCATTTTGCTAGAGAGGAAGTTTGGTAATTCGTAGCACACGAGGTGAAGGCAGTTACGTGAATGCGGGCCACATCATAAGAACAACGTAAGAAGGTCATTCAGAGGACAGACTTCAGCCACGAATGGCCTTTGCAGAATGCTGGTTTTGCAGCTTGTGGGCTCTGTGACCTTGGGCAAGTTACTAAATCTTTGTGTGCTTCAAATGCCCCCTTTGTAAAAATGGGTAGGGCTGTTAAAGGCATTAAATATGTATGGCACTTAGAATCACACAAAAATATTATGTGTAATATTTAACCATCATCATCAATATATATAATAATACACATTACTATTAAGTACTGTTGAATTTCTAAGTCACTTTGTCATACTCCACAGAGAACTACATTCTCCATTATAAATTAATAAAGGTAAAATAATATCTCAACTTCGCATAAAGGCAGGAATATATTATTTAAACAACAAATAAAGAGAAACCCCAGAGTAACAGGAGTGTTCTAGAAATGTTTCTGACTCATGTACATGGCAGCACAGACTGATTGGACTTACCATGTCATTTGTATTGGTGAGACTCAACCAGTCTACGATCACAGATTGGATTTTCAAGAAGCCTCAAAACAATACCAGTGCTTATGATCAGTACAGATATGTTGCAACAAATGTGAGGGATACTTGTGCATGTTAAAGAGTCTGCTGAAGTGACTGCGTGTGCCAGAACATTCTGAAACCACAGCAGAGAGAAAATAGGATTGCTTCCCTGAAGTGTGATCAAATGTTCCTGGTGATACAAAAAGTTGGAAACTTGCAACAAATAAGCAGTAAAACATGCTAATTGAAGCCAAAATATTGTCTCACAGAACTTTTAAGGTGTTTTTCATGACAGGGCAGAGTACATATTTTAAAACATAAAATTATATTCTGAGGGAAAAAAAGTTGACCATATATCTATTATAATCCCCCCAAGTTTATGTCCTATCAATTAGCTAAGAAGCTGGACATAGCTTTCCTCCCTGGAATTCTCTCTATTTTCATAACTGGTGAGGTGTTTTTTTGTTTTACCCCCTCTGTCCTGCCTCCTCATTTAAAATTTTCTCATCATCAGCATAGGTCTTACACACTAAGTTGTTAATTTTCCTACTGTGTTCAAAGTGGGGTTTGATCTCCCAGAAATTGACAATTTACATTTGAGTGGTTATTAGAAAAGTGTAAGAAAGGATTTATGCACAATCCTATGAAGAATAGAAGTGCAGATTTTTAGAAATCAAAGCCTACTTAAGATATGATACTTTTATGTAAGTATATGTAAGTAAGTATATCTGAAAATTTATTTCTGCCTAATAGTTTAAGGAAAAATGGGAATTTTTTATATTAAAAATATCGTCAAAGTACCTAGATATCTTACATTGGAGAAACGGTCTGCATATAAAAGGAACCAAAAACCTTATGTGACATTTAGTATACAGACAAGTTATTAAAAAGAATCATGCAGGAAAAGTATCAGATCCTCCTGAGATAAGATGTCACTGGAAGGGCTGCTTGCTTAATTCTGCTGCTGCACTTGGGCACCAGACTGTGTGGTGTGTACATGGAGCTCTCATCTGTATACAGCAGTACTTGCAGAGCTTTCATCTGTGTGTGGATATGTGCATGTGTGTGTGATGCATATACACACGTGTGTGGTTTTTTTTCAGTGTGAGAATAGTTCGTGAAGGGCCGTGGGTCTCCGGACTGCATGGTGATAATGCTGTGCTATGTTACAGGTTCACGCACGTATCCAAGGACCCATGGGGGACGTATGCGAGCTTTGTGGTCAGCCTCCAGTGTGTCACAGAACACTTGGTGACTAATCTCTGTGGTTTTAATAAGCTCTATTTATTTAAAGTGTTTATTTATATTTGAGACACAGAGGGTTGGAGAGAGACAGAGCATGAATGGAGAGGTTAGAAAGGGAGATACAGAATGTGGAGTAGGTTCAAGGCTCTGAGACGTCAGCACAGAGCCTTATGTGGGGCTCAAACTTGTGAACTGTGAGATCATGACCTGAGCCAAAGTTGGACGCTTAACCGACTGAGCCACCCAGGTGCCCCAAACATTATTTGTTTTTTTTTTTCTTTTAACGCTTATTTATTTATTTTGAGAGAGAGGGTGTGTGTGTGTTTGAGCTGTGGAGGGGCAGAGAGAGAGAGAGAGAGAGAGAGAGTCTCATAAAGGCTCTGCACTGTCAGGACAGAGTCCAACATGGGGCGCCATCTCAGGAACTGTGAGATCATGACCTGAGACTAAACCAAGAGTTGGATGCTTAAACTACTAAGCCACTCAGGAGCCCCCAGTTAGTGACAAATCTTAGTGAATATGACTGAGGGAGGGGCTCTGATCTTAACTGGATTCAATCTTCTTGAATTTTGAATTCTGATGTAAATTCTCACAGCTGTGTGGTGTTCAATATCAACAGTCGCTTCTGAGGCCTTGTTAGAGGCAGAATGGTCTTTGGCATTACAGATTTGCTTGAAGAAAGCACTTTTAGTACAGTTTTGAACATTTAATTTCTCAGCAGGACTTGCTTCTTGCCAATACCATTTGCACAGATTTGAGGCCTTGCTGGTTTTCTGAGAGACAGGTGATGTGATGCTTCAGCACTTTGTTCTTGAGCTCCTCCTCTGTTCTCTTGGCCAGATGTGTTTTCTGTGCCCCAATGAACATCCTTGGAAAACTGGCTAGTGTCAGAAAACTGCTTCGTTTTGAGCAACTCTTGCTAAATTATGAACACTCTTGCTTAATAAATCATCTCTTTCCTTATGCCATTTCTACTAGACATTTTGAAGCCTGAGAAATAAGGAAAGTCATATTAGCTTTTAAAGCCCTAAGAGTGTATTCAAATATTAACTTTCCAGATTAATGCACAATATAAGTTACATAAAATAAATGAAAGGAACTAGGCATTTTAACTTCACTCACCCAAGTGAGATACCAAATGTAGAACAGATATTAAGGAAATCAACACATTAGCAGGTATTTTGTGATAAGTCTGGATCTAAGTGCCAACTTTATATAATTACCGTGTAATATTTTTGGATGGAGGCTCCTCTTCCATCTTCATTTTGAACCAGAAGCAAAAGTGAAGTGAGAACAGGTTCCAGATCAATAAAAAATACACAACAAACTCAGAAAACCAGGAATAGAAGGGAGGTTTCTCCACTTGATAAAGAATACCTACCAAATTTTAGTTAACATTCAGCTTCATGATGAGAAACTGGAAGCTTTCCCACTGAGATCAGGTATGTCCCTCTCACCATTCTTTTTTATTGTCATCCTGGGATTCCTAGTCTAATGTGATAAGACAAGAAAGGAAACAAAAAGTATACAGATTAGAAAGGAAGAAATAAAACTCTGTTTGCAGTTGATGTGATTATGTAGAAAATCCTAACAAATCTACAAAGAGACTTCTGAAATTAGTAAGCTTTTAGATTAAGGTTGTAGGATAGCAGGTTAATACACAAGTCACTTTTCTGTATGCATGCAATAAACAAGTAGAATTTGAAATTAAAGCATAATACCATTTACATTTTCACCAAAGTGAAATACTTAAGTATAAATTTAGCAAAATGTGTACAAGATTTGTATGAGGGATTCAACAAAACTCTGGTGAAAGAAGATATCAAAAATAACTAAATAAATGGAGAGATAGTCCATGTTCATGGATAGGATAAGTTAATATTGTGAAGATGTCAGTTTGTCCCTACTTGATACATGGATTCAATGCAATCCCAATCAAAATTCAAGCAAGTTATTTTATGGATATTGACAAACTGATTCTGAAGTGTGTATGGAGTGGGAAAAGTCTAGGAATGGCTAAGACAAATTTTAAAAAGAGAAAAATTGGAGGACTGACGTTACTCAATTTAAAGATCTCCTATAAAATCACAGTAAACAAGATGCTGTGGTATTGTCAGAAGAATGCACAAATACATTGATGGACCATAAAGAAGAGTGCAGAAATAGAAATTGTGCAGAATAGAAAGGTCAGTTTGATAAAGGATCAATGGCAGTATGATGGAGAAAAGATGGTGTTTTCAACAAATAGTGCCAGAACACCCAGACATCTACATCTACATGGAAGAAAATGAAAGTGGACACAGATCTTCCACCCTTCAGGGACCATAGACCTAAATGGTAAATGCAAAATTATTAAACTTGTAGAAGGTGAAATAGGAAAAACATCTAGATGATGATGGAATGGCAGTGAGTTTTTAGATACACAAAGGCACAATCAATGGGAGAAACGATAGAGGGGTAAATTTCCTTAAAATTAAAAACATCTCTATGAAAAACAGTATAAAGAGAATGTAAAAGGGAGGCTTTGTGTCCTGGTCGGGACCAGGGATGTCCAAGAACTCTGTCCTTTCTACACAGTTTTACTGTGGGCCTAAAACTGTCTGAAAATAAAATCAGTTTATATATATGATATATACACTTAGTGTGTGCATATATATATATAATAATGTATAATATATATACACACACATATATAATATATAAAATACACAAAAATACACACATATATATATAGTATATATAACATTTTATATCCTAAATGGGATGCTAGAGCATAAAAAAGAATATTAGGTAAAAAGCAAGGAAGTCTGAATATAGGTTGTAGTTAATAATAATATATCAATATTGGTTCATTTATACTATAATAATATAAACATTACTAAGGATGTGTGGTACATAAGAACTGTGTATTATCTCAGTTTTTCTGTAAATCTAAAACTATTCTAAAAATAGTTTATATTTAATTACCCACACTGTCTTTTGCAGCTATTATAACATCAATACATTCTTAAGAAGGAGGTTATTGACTTTTTTTTTTACAACATACACTTAAAATATAACCTGAATATAAATATAATTAATATATAATCAATTACTAATATAAATCAATTACCAAGAGGCACTTTTGGGGCATAATCCATAGATTTTTTCCACCATTGTGAGGAGAAATAGTGCCACAGGAAATAAATAAGTGTTTACACATATAATCCAGTCATTGATGTCATAAATCTACATATGGTTGAAAATTTGAAATACTATTTGTTTTTTAATGGTGAATTCTGTTATAGATAATATATGCATATATAAATATGTTATATATACATAATAAAAATCTACCTGTAACTGACTTTGTGAAAAGCCAGAGCATGATTAAGTTGACATCTACAGACTTGATGGAAAGTCAGGTAGACAATATGTGGTTTATTGGTTTGCATGTAAACATTCCATTATCCTTTTATCTCACACATAAACTATTCATTTTCTTGGCTTCCCTGCTGATTTTACTCATATTTCAAGAATTATTATGATGTTCCCTAAAACAAGATTTACAAATAAAACAAATATATATATATAGAGAGAGAGAGAATCCCAAGCAAATGGCACACTGTCAATGCAGAGCCTGACGTGGGATTCGATTTCACCAACTGTGTAAGATTATGACCTGAGCTGAAACCAGAAGTTAGATGCTTCACTAACTGAGCCATCTAGGTGCCCTCAGGATACCACATTGTAGTTTTTGTCATGACTTCTTAGGCTCCTCATGACTGGGAATTTCTCAGGATTTTGGTGACCTTGTCATTGTGAGGAAAATTGATCATTTGTTTTAGAGAATGTCTTTCAAGTGTGATTATTCTGGTGTTTTCTGTTTTGATTACACTGGGTTATCGGTTACATAAATTATTTTATATTGTTCACAGATTTGCCTGTTCTCACACATTTATTTACTTATTCATTCAATTATATCAGGATGAGTCATGGGTATTTATTTTATGCTTTGACTTAGAATCCAGTACTATGTTATTTATTTTGTTGGTCACCTTGTTCCAGCTGTAGCCATTGGGAGCTCTTTCATTTGACTCCTGTGTCCCTTTGATTTGACATGCCCCGATACTTGTGTATATCCACATATTATCCCGTTATCAGCCCTGTGTTAAGAGGCTTTTGCTGCTAGCTTGCACTTGGGTATTACAGGCATTATATGATCTTCAGCACCACAGATAAAATATGAAGAGTGGAAACAAAGCCAAAATAATTTGCTTAAATAACAGTGTTCCTTGCTATTCCAAAATATTATCACCAGGTTATGATTTTTAAAAGCATTTTCCCTATAAAATTTATAAATATTAAATAATTGTTAATTTCCAGCTATTTATTATATCTTTTTAAAAGTATTTTTTTTGAGAGCAAGTGTAAGTGGGGGAGGGACAGAAAGAGAGAGGGAAAGAGAGAGCGAATCCTCTGCATAGACAATGCAGAGCCTCATGCGGAGCTTGAACCCATGAACTGTGAGATCATGACCTGAGCTGAAGATGCTTAACCAACTAAGCCATCCTGGCACCTCTATTTATTATATATTTAAATGTATACCTGATAGAGCCAATCTCCCTTATTTTGCATTTTAAGGAATATCCTTACTGTTCTTTAATTTTTGTCTTACCAATACATTCTAAAGTAGGTCTGATTCTTCTAAGTGTCCTTTCATATTTTTATTATAATTGAATTTATAGATCAATTGGGGACAGAAATGATTTCTTTATTACATTAAATCTCACTGTTGAATGAGGTGTATCTATGTCACAGGATAAACACACTTTGAAAGACAGATTTATGTGCGGGAAGTTTGTGGGAAGTTCTCTCCAGATCAAGATCCTGGTGGCAGTAAGGAAGCGATGGGAGATAAAGGAGAAGGTGAATACAGTGTCTTTGCTACAACAGCCTCAGGGGGTCCTACAGGACATTCCGGAGTCAGGGTGCAGCGGGCCGGGGCACTGGGTTGTGGCATCAGGCAGACTTTGGATGAATGGAAGCTTGGGAAGGGTGGCCCTCATCACTCAAGGCAGAGTCCTGGAGGGAGATACAGCTGAGGAGTATTGGCTTCCAAAACTCCCAGTAGTAATGGGATGCTTCTGCCTCGAAGAAGAGAGTTTAGGCAATGTATGAGAGCATCTAATACAGTGCGCACCCCAAGCTGCTGAGATGCATTTGTTTCCTGTAAGTCCTGAGAACAGATTCTGCGCATTCTGTTTGTCCTTACATCCTGGGGGAAACTGGCAAGAAAATGGTTGGTTAAATGAAAGACTTGAAATACTGTCGAAGCCGCTCAGGACATGCCTGGTGCTCACCATTTCTTTCATTCACTGTCCATGCTAGGCCTCCCTTGCTCTTGGTGAGCACTTAGGCTTGTCCAAGTGGCTTATGTGTTGGGTCATCAAGACCTGCGGGCTTGAAGAGTCTCAGCCACATGCCCCCTTGCTCTTCTCAGTTCATGGCTGCTGCACAAGTTCATTTCTCATCAAATCTGAGCAAGGTGGTCGGGAGAGATCCCCAAGTGGATTGCCAGGTGGCAGTCATATTTTACCCTGCCTTACATTTGATGGAAGTACTGACTCCTAATGAAATTATCACGGTGGACACAAGGACCTTAAAGTGAGAAAGCCACCGCTGTAGTTTGACATTTCATGGGGGTTTGCATTGTCTCCCGGAAATGTTTCTCATAGACTGTGGAGGCTGTAGGAAGATAACCATATGTATAAGCCTAGCTATGGCGGAACAGGAAAAATGCATTATCCAAGCAGGGCACTGGGAGTGACAGAGGGTAAAGTTGACTCTCATTTTACTACTCATTCCAGATGCAAGCATTATAACTATCAGAATTGCAAGCCTGTATAATGATAATTGATTTAGAGAAACATTTTTGAAGGTGTATTCTCTAAACTGACACCTCAGCTATATAGCTATATTCAGTGGGTAAGCACATTGCTCTGTTGGTTTGGCAACTCCTGGTTGATGGGGCATTGAGAGGAACGGTGGCTTATAGGACAAACAGCGTAGCTCTTTTCTGGAAGTGTATCTCTTGGTCCTGTGCCACAGCGCTACTGATCTGAGCTAAAGGCATTATCAAAATGCCTCACATATGGTGCACCTGAGCTGCTTGGTTGGTTAAGCATCTGACTTCAACTCAGGTCATGATCTCACAGTTCGTGCTTTTGAGCTCCACATCCGGCTCTGTGCTGACAGCTCAGAGCCTGGAGCCTGCTATAGATTGTGTGTCTCCTCCAATTAGCATTTATTCATTTTTGAGAGACAGAGTATGAGTGGGGGACAGGCAGAGAGAGGAGACAAAGGAGTTCCCTTTGCATAATAAGTGGATAAGTATTTATGGTGCCTGTGGAAAGGCCCATGGGAGTGCTGTCTTTAGGGACCACCCTGAGTGAGGTTGTAATGCAGCCACAGTCCAGGTACCCAGGTACTAAGCCAGCCTGTTT